CGGCCCCCCCGCCGCCGCCGCGCCGGACGCGTCGGCCTCGGCGGCGTTTGCCAGGCAGGAGGTGGGCCCAAAACGGCAACAAACGCAAAACGCAACAAAACACGGCGCCCGAAGCGTACGCGTGGTGACGTGTCATCGCTTCCCATTTCGTTGACCCGCTTTGAATTTCCTTCTGCTTGCTTTCGTTGGAATTTTGCCCTCGTCTTTCTTTTCACCTCTCGGAATTCATTTGACGTTGGAGATTTTTTGATTTGAATGCCTTTTTTTTTTTTTCCTTCCTTTGCTTCCGTGACGAGCGCGTTGCAGGACGCGCGGCCGCTGAGTCCGCTGCGCCATCTGTCGCGCGCCATCCGGGACAACACGGAGCAGCTGGCCGGCAAACTCAAGTGAGACGCTTCTTCCGTTTGCTCGGCCGCCCGGGCGTGCCGCTCTTTTGGGGTGGGGGGGGGGAAATCCCCCTTTGTGAAGGGACGAGTGCCAAGTTTGAAACGTGTGCCGCTGTTTGCATTCAGGCTGATGTTCCGCAACAGAGAGGACGTGTGGGAGGAGATCGACAAGCAGACCAAAGCGGACGCTGAACTTTCGCTCCTGAAGACGTCCGATCAGGTTGCGAGCGAACTATGGAATCCATTTCCGAGTCGGGCGCTCATATTGGCGTCCCTTCGTTTTGCAGGAGATCTCGTCCATCGTCGCGGAACTCGCGAGAGTCCAAAGGCAGCTGCAAGGTAAGAAACAAAATCAAAGTATGATGAAACCATCCGCCGCCCGGTGACTGTATTTGTACGCGCAAAAACGAAAAGGGATCGGCAACGGGACCCTGAGATCCATCATCTCGCACTCCAGGGCCTTGTCGTCTTCATTCAGGCGTTTTGGACAAGTGGCTCTTCTTGTGTGTGTGTGTGTCTGCAGTCATCAACTGGGCGGTGGATCCCGCCGGGAGCCTTCAGGCCGCTGCCCAAAGTCCCCCGACCATCTCCGTGGAAAAGAAAGGCGCTGGCGGCAAACAAAACGGCGTCGCTCAGAAAACGCGGCGTCACGCGCTGTGAAAAGGCGTTCACGCCGCCGCCGCCTTCCTAATCTTGTGCGCTCGGTCGTCGTCCAGGAAGCCTGCGATGAGCATCCTCCGTGCTCGGGCGCCCCCTTGTGCGCGAACGGGAAAGTGCGCCGACTGTCTGTTGCGGTGGCCGGCTATTTCTTTCGAGTCACCCAAGCGGGACCGCGCGCTTTCGTTACGCCCCCCCGCCGTCATTTTGTGTCGATGTTGTCGCCGTCACTTGGTCGCTCTGGGGCGCGTTTGAAGCCAAGCCGCGCCCCCCCACCCGCCCACCGCTCGGCTCGCGTGATGTGCCGCTTGAATGCTATGACGTCAGAATGACATAAAAATGTACTTCCGTGTCATTTCTTCGAATGAGAAATAAATGACGCGTGCAAGGTCTTCTTGAAAACAAAGTTGTCGCCTTTGACGTTCGCATCATCGGCCCAAGATCAGAAGTTGAAGGAGGCAACCGGACGACTCGTTTCTTGAATTTGTTGGGGCGGGGCCTCGGGGTATAATGTGGAAATTACAATCGAAACAAAAAGCAGTGCTTGCTCTTCTTCATATTCGCTACAAGCACATTTACGCCTTTGAGTCACTTTTCAAAAGTGGCTCCAAATTTCCCCCCAAAATTTTTAAAGAAGCGAGACATTACTGGGTGTGGGGGGGGGGGGGCTGCAGTTGCTCAAGTCGTATTCAGCGTTGCTAAATGTACAAAAAGAAGAAAAGTGCCAAGTTGGCAACTTGGCATCCATGTTGTGTGTGTCGCGGAGGGTTTTGGGTGTCAGCGGCCCAATTGCGAAAAGCGAGGTGTCGTTTTCGTCGTGGTGTCGAGGCTCACGTTGCAGTGCCGTGACTCCACCTGCAGGCCCCGCCCCCCCTCCAGCTGTCTTTTATCGCTCATCACACATTTGAAGGGAAAAACGCGTCCAACGAGAAGAAGCAGCAGCAGCAGCCTCCGCCGCCTCCTCACGTGAGTTCAAAGTCTCAAACGTGACCTGAGCGGGTTGGAGCGCCAGAAATGTGCGTCGTTGACTCGCGGGGTCCACCCGTTTGCATTGAATTTGTTCATCGAGGTCGGGAGGGTGCCGGCGGGCGCCAGGTAGCCCCCAAAGACTCCGCGAGGAAAAAGCCCGCGCGGCACCTCCCAAAATCGCTCCGTGATGTCACTTTGCGATTTCCCGTCAACGTGGCGATCAGCGGAAGCGCTTTCACGAATGGCGCCTTGCGGCTTGATCTTTGATTTCTCTTTCAGACCTTCTTGTTGATCATTGTGAGAAAATAACCGGGTGTTCGCCGTTGCCAGGCTTATCCGTTGGACGTTCGTAATAAAGACCCAATGAGGAGAGGAGACGCTCGATTCTTCTACCAAATCACTCGGGGGGTGGGGGGTAGAAGTGTTGGGTCAACTAAAAACAATCAACCTAACGGGTGTCCTCACGTCGACGGATTTCATCCGCGGTCAGAAATGCGTCGCGTTTCGTGCGGCTCCGAACCGTTGGCCGCACGAAAGCCTCGGCGTCCGCGTCGCTCGCGACAAACTAATTCAAGGCGGTGTTCAGGGAGAAAAAAGTTGCGTCATGGAGGACAACGCGGAAGGAGGGGCCGGACGGCGGCCCGAGTTCCCGGGACGGCTCCCGAAGAACGTCGGGCCGCGAGAACGGGCCGGACGCGAGGAACGCACATCGGCCCGGAGCGACGACGAGCTGGAGACGACGGGCAGGATGTTGGCGGCGCGGGAGGAGGAGCTCCTGAGCGGGGGCCGGCCCGGCGAGGAGCGTGCGGAGCGGCTGCGGCGAGACCTGGAGGTCCTGAAGCTGCGCGCCCTGACCGCAGTCCGGCGGAGCTTCGCTTGCGATGACCCCGACGACCTCGCCGACCAGCTGAGCGGGGCGGCGGCCGCCGTGCGGCTGCAGGAGGAGCTGGACCGGCGCTGGGCGGGCGGCGGCGGCGCCCCGCCGTGGCGACCTCTCAAATGCCTGGCCTCTCACAACGCCCTGCTCGCCGACGTGGCCGAGTCCAGGCTGGAGGAGGCCGCCCGAGACGGGGAGCGGGACGGGGCCTTGCGGCTCTCCACGCCCGTCAAGAGGCGGGTGAGCGCCGGGGCGTGACGTCGTCGTCTCTTGCCCGCCGGGAGCTCGGAGGTTGTCTGATGGCGCGGCGTGCGCGGCAGGTGTGCGGCATGGGCGAGCGCGTGAAGGCCGACCTGCTGCGCTGCGCGCGCGTGCTGCAGCCGTGTTACGGGCCTCACTTGGACGTGCTCAACATCTACGCCGCTTTGTGCGTGCGCTCGCTCTCCGCTCAGCTGAGCGGCGTCATCCGAGGCGGCTTGGAAGCGGACGACTGCGCCTACCTGCTCTTCTGGGTCAACACCTTCTACCCTCAGTGAGGACGGACGCGCTTCGACGGCGTTCAAAACCTCCGAGTAATGTGACGTGACGTAACGTGACGTGTGTGCGTGCAGGGAAATCCTGCAGCACGAAGAACTGCGCGACAAGTTAAAGACGGCGTGTCTGGGCGCTCTGCTGCGGCGGGATGAGGTGCGGCGGCTGGAGGAGCGCTACGCGAGCAGCCAGGAGGTCGGGACCAAAAAGGCCCATCGCAAAGACGCCGCCGCCGCCATCGGCGCCGAGTCAGCCTTTTGTTTCCCCGACCAGGAGCGAGTCTCCTTGTGGCTGCTTCGAGTCCTCCGGAGAGAAGAAGAAAAGTGGAGCGGCGCCGGCATGCCGGAAGTCTTGGACGACGACTACTTCTGCCCGCTGGCCGTCGACGTCATTCAGGTGCCGGCGGCCCCCGCCGCGCCGTTGGCGCGCCTTCTCCGCGCCGGCCGTCCTCCATTGGGAATTCTTTGATTTGTTTTCCCTCCAGGTGATAGACGGATCCCTCGCCGACTTGCGCTGCGTCCTCGGCGACGATGGCGCCGGATGTCACGAGGTCGCGGCTCACCTGGAGCGCTTCCTCTTCAGGTAGCGCGACACGACGCGACGACTGAGGTGAGGACCGACGCCGCCTAATGACGGGCGTGCGCGCGCAGGTACCAGAAGGCTTTGGGGAAGTTGGCGCGGAGGAAGGACGAGCGCGCGTCAGCGTGGATGAAGGCTCACTCGGCCTGCGAGGAGCAACTCAGGTGGGGACGTTGAGGACGAGGGGAGCGCCGTTCTCGCGACATCCGATGAATTGAGCGTGCGAGACGCGAGCGTTGACCCGTCCCGTCCGCAGCGAGTACGTCGGAAGTCAACTGGTGGCGACTCAAAGAGGAAGAAGGTCCTGCGAGGCCATTTTGGGGGCGCTGAGGGAGTCGGCCTTCTCCGCGTTGACGCGTCCCATCCACGAGCAGCTCAAGGTAGGCCGCACGACGCCTCCTTTTGCAGCGGAAAAACGTTGCGCCCGCCCCCCCGCGCGTCTTCAGGTCTTTTACAGGCGGCTGTGGACGCCGGGCTGGTCGGACGGCTCCCTGGCCGTCATGGACTCGCTGCTGGACTCTTTGTTTCAACTCTTTGGCCTCGGGCTGAGCGGGCTCAAAGCTTCCTGCAGACGGGTCAGTCTCGCCTCTCGCTCGCTCTCAGCCCGTCTCGCGCCTTTTGGCTCCGCCCCTCAGCGACGCGTGTCGCCGCAGAGCGCGGTGCGCGCCTTCCAGCGGGAGTTGGTGTCGGAGTACGTGAGGAGGATGTCCAAGGGCCGTCTGAAGAGCGCCGAGGAGCGGGCGGGCGCCGCCGGGCGGCTGTCGGAGGACGCCGACAAGATGGACGACTTCTTCCACGCGGCGGCGGGGGTGAGACGGCGTCCATCCTCTGGCGCGACGTCGGCCGAGTCGTTGGGGAGTCTCTGGGCGTGACGAGAGATGCGCTCGCGCTCAGGGCTGCGGCGACGGCTCGCGCTCGGCGCCGATGCTCCGCCACCTGGCCAACGCGCTTCGCCTGCACCGACCGGAAGCCGTTCGGCAAGAAATCGTGGCTTTCGCCGGGAAGTTCCCGGGCTTCAGGTGCGACGGGACCGCCCACCGCACGTTGCCATTGCAAAGCGACGACGAACGCCCGGTCGCGCGACAATCTTACGACAAACACGCTGTTAATCGCGGCACGACGACAAAGAGGGCTGGTTGCCATGGCGACAAGCACGAGCCCGACGGCCGGTGACCGTATGACGGCGTGACCGCAAAGCGCGCGTGTGCTTGTTCCCTTCAGTGAGGCGGCGCTGTCGGCGCTGCTCGCCCTCAAGTCGGACATCTCGGCGGCAGACGTCAGCTCCATCAAGCGCGGCGTGGAGGAGGAGCTAGCCTCCGCCAATCGCGGGCGGGCGCCGTTGGCCTGGCTCAAAAGGAACAAAAGCGCAAGCCCTGGGACTGAAGCCACTTGATTGCGTTTGCGTTTTTTGACAGCACAAAATGCGTGACGGACGGACGGAAGGACGCTTTGTGCTCATTTTGGAGTTGGGTGGGACTTGAATGCATTTGTCCATTCGAGGCGCTTCATGCAGTTTATCCAGTGAGCAAAGTGTGCCTGTGTGTGTGTGGGGGGGTGGGGGGTGTCTAATAAAGACTTGGAGGTGTTTCACAGACTTTATCATTATTATAATCATCAGTAGTATTCTCATTATTATGGGACGACGTTTCAGCTGCTCCACTCAGGAACTCGAAAATCAAGGAGGTGTCAGACATCTACGTGGCTCGCTAACATCCCGTAAGACGGGTTCTACTTCGAGTGAGGGAGGGCCTGGGGGTGGGCTTGCGGGGGGTCGGTGCGGTTACGGCCTCGGGAGGCGAAAAGGTTCACTTCTGCTCGGGCATCAGGTCGTCGACGGCGTCTCCGGCCTCCAGGCGTTTCTCCATGTCCACCAGGAGGTTGACGCCGTCCACCACCATCTGGACCAGCTCCACTTCGGAGAAACCCAGGCGGTCCGCGTTGGAGATGTCAAAGACTCCGCCTACCGCCGCCGTGTCCACTCCCCCTGAAAAGAAGCCAAAGCGCCGCTTGAGACGGCGAGGACCACCCCGGCGGCCCCTCCCCCCCGGCCGAGATCCTACCTGTGCCTCGCTTCTGCAGCCTGAGACGTTTGAGGACCTCGCCGAACAGCTCGTGCTTGCTGAGGTTGGGAAGTTTGACGTGGACGCCGGCGCGCAGGCCCGTCCCCAGGTTGGACGGGCACGTGAGGACGTAGCCCAGGTGCTCGTTCCACATGAACTCGTGACTTCGCTCCTTGAACAGGGACTCGATCTGCGACGCCACAGGGAGACGGACGGCGTCAGGCGGCTTTCGAGCGTGACGTGGACCGGTGGCCTGTCACGTCCGTCGCTCGCTGGCTTTTCCCCGATACGTGGGCGGGCGGACGGCGGAGGGATCGAGCGCCACCGGAAGCGTCGGCTCGTGATTCCAAAGACGAAGCTTTTCAACCTGCTTCTTTTCAATCCATCGCGCCCCCCCCAACTACTTCCCAGTTCCCGACTAACAGGTGTAAACTTCCGTTTTTCAGATTGCTGCCGTTTTGAGCAACGCGTCCGACTTGGAAAGCGACGGGGGGCCGCGGCGACTGACCTTGGTGAGCCCGGTGCAGAATCTGGTGAAGACCTCCCTCATGTTGCCGCCTTTCTGCATGCTGATGACGCGCAGGTGGTCTTCCTCGTTGACCCAAACCAGGAAGGTCTTGTTGTCGTTGTGCCTGCGAGGGCACGCCAAGGTCACGGCGGTGAGCGGGAGGCGGAGGGGGGGGGAACCCAAGACAACGGGAGGCATTCTGACCAGATCCCGCGACCGTCGGGCCAATCGCGAGCCATGCCGGACGCCAGCAGCAGCGGCGAGACGGGTTTGTCGAAGAGGAAGTGGTCGTCGATCAGCTGCTGCTGTTCCTCCTCCGTCATGTTCTTCAGGGCGTAGTAGCGCCCTTTCAGATCCCCGTCCAGGGCGTCCAGACCTGCAAAGTCGGCGGCGGCGGCGTCAACTCGGAGGGCGGACGCAGCGCGCAAAAGTCACGTCCTACTTTGAATGGAGAGGTCCTCGATGGCGCGGCGCTCTCCGCGGCTGCAGTGAGGCGGCAAGCAGAAGCCGCGGATGCTGCGGCCGGTCCGAACCCGAGAGCTCAGAACGTAGTTTGGATCCAGGTCGTCTCCGCCCTGGAAGTGGCCAAAGTCCCAACGCGGATCAAAGCGCGAGAGACTCAAGACGGACGTTCCCGAAAGCAGGTCGTGTGGCGTTTTTTTTTTTTTTTTTGTGTGTGTTTTTCCAGCATGCTGCAACTCGATTCAACCGAGCGGCTGTTCCGGAAGCGAATAGGAGGAAGTCCGCAAAGAAGTACGCGCGGGCGTCCGACCCGCTTCCGGGCGAGCCCCGTCGTCTATTTAGCGGGTTACCTGCAGGTTCTCTGGGTCCAGGTCGGTCTTGTGCTTGTCATCGGGTTTGTAGCCCCCGTGGCGGTCTTCGATGATGGGGTCCATGAGGTCCCGGAACACCTCGTAGGTCTCCTCGTCTCCCGCCACGCAGCCCACCGTCATGATGAACGGATGACCTGAGTGGCCAAAATCATTTTGGGTTGCTCGCCCGAGGCTTTATTTTGGGGGGCAGATCGGCCGCGGTCCGATTTAAGAGGCAGAAAGCGCGGATCAGGCCGCCGATCCAATTAAAGTCTCTAATCGCTCGACTTGGCGAGTCGGGCGAGTTGCTTTGGATTCCGTTACCTGGATTGTCCACGCCGGTCTGGATGACGTCATCCAGGGTGAAACCGCTGGGCGTCTCTTTGTCCCGCAGTTGGGCGTACATTTCAGGCGTCAGCACCTTGGCCATGTGGTTGTTGTGCTGGCTCAGGTCGGGGAACTCCTGCTCGGCCGAGTAGTTCATCTTCATCTTGTTGTGGGTGTTTCCGAAAGGCATGGCGACTGCGGGTCGGCACACGGACACGCACGGTCACCGCGCGCCGCCAAAACGCCTCCCGGGGTCGGGAGGCGTTTTGGCAGAGCGGTCGTCGCGTCAACTTTTTGCACCCATCGCGCGGCGGGACGATGATGATGACGTCGCCCCGACCGTTGGATGAGCACTTGGGCCTGCTACGCCGCAGCCGCGTTTGGAGGTTGTCGGTCTTTGTTTTGGTGGCAAGCGTTTGATGATCCGATTTTTTTTTTTGGGCTTCATGAAACGGGAACGTGGCGGTCGTGTCGCCGAATCGATTCTCCTCCGCGCGCAAGGGCAAATTCCACAAATCAACGATCAATCGCGAAAGTCCCATTTTGCTAGGAGCGGGCCGCTGTCCTCTTTGCTCGCGCGCGCGCCGTGAAGGTCACGGCGCGCGCGGGGACGCCGCAGCAGCGCGAGCGGGCGGGCGCGCCTCCTCCTCGCCCGCACCTTCTGCACCTTCACCTCTGACCTTGTCGCGTGCAGCCGCCACGTTGCGTGCACTCAAAGACGATTAGCGGCGAGGCGCGCGGCCGGTGCGCGTATTTGCGCTGACTGCGCAACACCTGCCCGCCCGCGGACGCGAGCTGGCGCGCGCGCTCGAGGCGCCTCGCGTGACAATGAAAATGAGGGCAGAGAAATCGGGAGGAAAAAGAGCGGGGACGGAGCGGCGGCTCTTTGTTCGGACAAAAGCGGTGTTGGCGGGACGGGACGTGCGTGACGCAGGAGTGCGGTTGGGGTGGGGGGGCGGGGGGGGGCGCCTTTTGCACACGACGGAGCGTTTTCCCTGTCGACTGCACGGATGAGAGGGTCGGGCGATGGATCGGTCCTTACCTGCGGTCGGTTCCGGCGGATGGGCGCGATGCGAAAGGAGCTGAGCTGGTCCGGTCCGGTTCGGTTCTGCTGCGGCGGCGGCGGATTAGAGCGGGTCCATCTTTTTATATCCACCCCTGCGAGCCCATTGGCTCCTATTTGCGGTCCATTCATTCCATTGGGCGGGGAGCCGCCGCTGCTGCTGATGCTGCTGTCACGTGACGTCACTTGGCACGAAGCACCAAAGTGAGTGAAAAGGGCCTCGGTCGGATTCGAATTTCAAGGTCCGACACACGTAGCCGCGGCAGCGCCTTCCGCGGGCCGCTTCATCGTCATCATCCTCATCGTCGTCGTCTTCATCCGCCATTTTTGAGCGACACTTGACAAGCGTCTCCGCTCTCGGCCAATCGCAGGCTTGGCCCCCCCCCCCCTCCTCGCGCGATCGGCTTTGGTGACTTTCTCAAGAGGTGACCCGCCACCCTTCAGCCGTGTGCGCTCGCCTTGTGAATCTTAAGCACTTCGCCACAAAAGCGGACCCGCGGGAACAAGCCAACTTTTGTCTGCGGTGCGCGTGCGTGTGCGCGCGCGCGCGCAGAGAAGCGGGCCCCCGGAGGGGCTTGCGCCTTGTGCGCGCGTCCGCGTGTGAGTCTGCCTATGCGCGTACGTGTTTGTCTACACCGAGATGATGATCTGCTTCGGGGGCACAACAGAAGGGCGGAGCGAGGACGGGCGCGCCCGGACGCCGCAGAATATCAAGCGCGTCCGGTCAGGACCGAGACGATGAGGAAAGCCGTTTTGGGGCGCGTCTGTGTGCGCGCAGCCTCTCGTCCGCTCCGATTGGCCGCCCCTCGGTTATGTAAGCGGCGCACAGGCAGGTGCATTGTGGGACATTTCGCCAGCATCGCCCTGACCCCATTTCGTCTTTGTTGCCGCGACAACCGCGCACCCACGCAGTCAAACGATTTCAGCGAGAGGCCAGGCCCCGTCCCCGGTGCTCGAGCGGCGCTCATTGGCTGTTCACGAAAGGAGGAAGGAAGCGAGGAAGCAAGGAAGGAAGGAAGGAGGACGCAAGGACAAAGCAATCAAGACAAGGGGGCGGGGTTAAGGCGGAGGGCATCATCGGGGACAGAGGGGAGGGACCACGTGACTGTTGCCATCACAACCGGCCGCTCGGCGATTGGACGTTGCGGCGGGAGCTGTCGCGCGCGTGCCGCTGCCCGTTTGAGAAACGAAGCGTTGACCCGCGCACGTTGCTCCTAACTTGGGGAAAATATGGCAACCCGTGGCACGAGCTGAATAGTTTGAAAGAGGGAACAAAAAGGCGCCGAGCCGAACGGGTGGCAAGTCGGCCAAGGCTTTGAAAGGCCGCTGGAGAAAAAGATGCAGTCGTTACCCGAGTGGCCCGCGCATCGCTTGCTTTCCAAATTCCACCTCTTCTTCTACGGATGTTTCCGTTGCCGATCGCAGTTGATCGACCCTCTCGCCCCCCCCCTCCCCCACCCAACGAAAAGCCAAGTGTCATGTTGCCAGTCAACCAATCACACACGCGACGGCCGGCGCGCGTGTGGGACGATGTGCGTGTGCACGTGGAGTCCAAACGTGGTGGGCGTGTGTATACTTCAACAGGATTTTCAGGTGGTCGGAGTGGCGGGGGGGGGGGGGGGGGGGGGAGCATTTCGTCCTGTTGAATTGTGCGCTCTCGTTTTATGTGGGAGGAGTCGCGTTCAATCTTGGACTCAAACGTCAGCGCGTCGACGTCGATTTCGTGTTGGATGGCGTCAGTTTCAGTTTACCGCAGTGTCGCGAAGATTCCCTCGCCGCGGTCGCGTTCGATCACGACAGCGCGGACACTTTACGTGAGTCGAAACGCAATTCGTTGTCACGTATGAAGAAGCGCGGAAAAGATGAGAAAAGTACAAGGCGGACAAACCGCGGCCGCCCAAGTGCCGCGACTCCGAGAAATGATTCCAAAAATATGGACTTGGAAGCCGCAAACGCAACGTGTCCCTCTTGTTACAGCCATTTGTTGTCGTGCAAAGCGATTGATGTCCCCAAAACGTGAGTACTGTAATCATACCCCCCCCCCAACACACACACACACACAAAGCCGTCATGAGCTGTGTGCTCACAACAAACAAACAAACATGTGATTGTGCACGCCGGCTCCGACACGAGTCCCGACCTCCTGCCACTCGGATGCCAGCCCCGCCTGGCCTTTGCCATTGGTCGGCTCTTCCAAATCTCCCCGTTTGATTGGCTTTCGATTTCTTTGGTCGTGTCGGTCGGAGACGCGTAGAAGGAACGCTTTGATTCGGCGAGAAATCGACGACGAGAGCGTTTGCACCAAGCTTGCTCGGTGGCTCTTTTTTCGGATGTTGCATCGATCCTTTCCTTCGCAGATAAAACCTTGAAACGCGACTCTCGGTCCGTCCAGAAGTTCGGTGGCGCGTTTCCAGGCGCTCATTTTCACGTGACGTGACCAGATACGTTTCACGTCATTGTGTGATAAGTTCACATTAGAACGCGATCCATTTTTCACATGACACCATAAAACGTGACATTTATGTTATAAATGTAATTTGTGGTAACGAGTCGCTTCCGTTATTCTGCTCTTGTTTGTGTGTGCGCGCGCGTGTGTGGCCGTCCCCCAAATTTTGGCTTCGATTTGTCTTTTTGCGTGTCCGCTTTTCCAGCCCGGAGGAAGCGATTTCGAGCTCCGTGTAGCCCCGGAGAGCTGTTCCAGTGCGAGCAATGGATCAAGCAAGCAAGGGCGAGCCCCCTCTCCCCGGCGTTCAGGAGTAAATGGCGGAGGGGTTCGGAAACAAGCATAGGCGAAATGATGTTTTGATTTCTGTCTTTTGCCCCCTCAGTCCCTTCGCCTCCTTTATTCCACCTGCATTGTCTCCTCGCTCCCTCCTTCATCCCAGCATGCATTGCGAGCGGGGCCTTTGTGATTGTTGTCCAAAGCTCTTTGTTGTCAGGCGTCCGCGGTGGTGACGTCACCCGCGTGACCTCGGCTCCGGTCGCCTCATGGCTGTGATGACGTCACGCCCCAGCCTCTTGGCTCCCGGGGGCCGATGACGTGACGTCACGTCTCCATGGCGTTTCCGACGGGGAAGGCGGGGCCCGTGATGCCGGCTCATCGCTCGGCCGCGCTCGGCAGCGGCAATCCGCGGGAGAACTTCCGGGGCTCCTCGCTTCATATTTCAAAACAAAAGCATTCACGTCACTGCACCTTGAATTAAGTGGCTTTGTACTGGGTGATGACGAGCATTTTACGGGCAGTAAGGAAGTAAGAGGCGTCTCCCCCCCCCCTCCCTTCCCCCGAGAGAGCTCGCTAACTTGCGAGTGTGAACGAAAAGTCTCGGTTGTGAAAAGGCGACTGAGCGGAAAAGCTCGCGAGCGTCGCCACTTGCCGAGAGGAAGGCGACCTGGATTCTGCCGACGCCGTCTTCCCGTGGCGAAGATCCGAAAAACGCTCCGCGATAGTGCCCGGTTGGCCCGCCCCCAACGTCAACGCCAGTCGGTCGGTGCCGGACGTTGTCCCGAGCTGGTAGGCCGCCGGCGGCCCAGCATGGAGCGACGGCGGAGGCGAACGTGACGACGGGAGGAACGGCGGACATTTGGGATTAAAGCCGCTGTGGAGCAAAACCTGACGTCCGACACACGCGACACACACGACGGTTCGGCGGACGTAGCCGGACACACGCACACCCGGGCCGCCGGCTCGGGAATGCTCGGTGAGCGCTAACGAGCTAGCGGAGCTTAGCAGCGAACCTTTTTGAGGCTTTAGGCCGGGCCGGGCCGCGACCGTCCGCGAGCGAGCATGTCGGCGGCCCAGGATTCTCAGGCGGCCCCGGTCCGCCTGAAGCGTCTGGAGGAGATGCTCGCGGAGCGCACGGCGCCGGGCTGCCTGAGCGTCGAGACCTTGCTCGACCTCCTCCTATGCGTGACCAGCGAGTGCGCCAACTGTCCGCTCAAGAGGGAGAAGCACGTCACCGACTTCCTCGACTGGGGTAAGAAAGAACCCGAACGAACCGAACCTCCGCACTCCCCGGCCGGCCTGGCCTGGGAGTCGGACGCGGGACGCGGGGCGCGGCCGCCTGGGTAGCGCGTTACTTTGGAAAAGCCTTCACGCGGTTCCTCAAAGATGCCTTTGAAGGGCACAACAAGATCCCATCTCGGGCTTGATCCCTTCCAACATCAACAGTAACAAAGACACATCACCCCAAAGCTTGACTTTGGATAAAGAAATGCAATTCTTTTTCGCTTCCCTGATGAATCAGATGTTGCTAGGCGCAACAAATCATGGATGATTTGGCATTCCAAAGTCAGGGCAGACGTTTGCAAATGGAGGAAAAACACCAAGCTAATGCGTCTGCCTTGACGGAGGACGAGATTCCCGTTTGAAAGGCTGAAATTTGGACCATTTGAAGTTGCGAGCGAGGTCGACGAGCAAATGAATCAATTAGTTGTCACTCCATTCGTTGGCACACATCCGACGATTCCTTCTGTACGAGCCAACTGATGTGGCTTATTGCTTCGTGGACTGATGTGGCATGACTCCATTGTGTGTGCGTGCAGTGAAACCCTTCACGTCGACCATCAAGGACCTGCGACTGCGCCGAGACGACTTTGAGATGTTGAAGGTGATCGGACGCGGAGCTTTTGGCGAGGTAACGCATCCTCTTCGGGGTCTGTTTGTGTCGAGAGCTTTTTGCGCGTGCGCGGCCACTTCCTGTGCGGAAGCCGGCCTTTCCAGTGCATTTCCTGTTTACGGCCGGCCGCTTCCCGTCTCGGCGCGCTCGCGTTTGTGCCGGCCGGCCTTCCCGACAGGCGCGGCCCGACGTCGCGCAAACAAACAAAACGACGATGCGCGCCGTTGACGTTTGCGCAGCAGCAGTCCCGCCTGGGCTGCCGTCGAGCCGAGCGACGCCGGCGTCTGTGTGTGTGATTAGCGCGCATTCCTTTGGGCGGGTTGGGCTCCCCCCCACCATTTTCCCGCCCACCCGCCCCGCGTT